CTCTAGGATATAAGAATAACTACCCCCCCCCCCCAAAGACCAACAAACAAACAAACACAAAAAAACCCCAAATAACCCAGTCAATTAAAGGGCAAAGGAACCAAACAGTCACTTCACAGAAGAAATATGAATGGTCAACAAATATATGAAAAAATATATGAAAAAATATAGAGAAATGCAAATTAAAACTACCCTGGGATTCCATCTCACTCCAGTCAGAATGGCAATTATCAAAAATACAAGTTACATTAAACGTTGGTAAGGATGTGTGGAAAAGGGTACACTCATATATTGCTGGAGGGACTGCATATTGTTGTAACCACTCTGAAAAACTTTATGGAGATTTCTTCAGAGAACTTGGAATGGAACCACTATTTGACCCAGTTTTCTTACTTTTTTCACACATATAAGTCTCTTACTTGTTGGTTAAATTTATTCTTAGGTTTTTATTCTTCTGGATTGTATCATAAGGAATTTTAAAAAAATATTTTTTGGATTGTTTATGGTAATATATTTAGAAATAAAACTGAGTTTCCTGTGTTTATCTTTTATCCTGTAGTTTCACTGAATTTATTGGCACTGGTTTTGTGTGTGTGTGTGTGTGTGTGTGTGTGTGTGTGTTTATGTGTGAGAATTTTTAAAGATTTTCTGTACCTAAGAATTTTTATATAGTTTTGCTTATTCTATTTCAGCTTCAGTGTGTTCTTTTTCTTGCCTTTCTTGCTTTTTCCAGGAAGTTTCATTATTCTGTTGCATAGAAGTGGCAAAAGGGGCTGGGGGGGATGTAGCTCAGTTGCTAGAGTGCTTGCCTCACATGCACATGGCCTTGGGTTTAATCCCCAGCACCACAAAAACAAAACAAAACAAAACAAAACAATAGAAGTGGCAAAAGGACCCACCCTTATTTTATTCCTGATCTTAAGGCAAAGGATTTAATTTTTCATAATTTGAGTATAGTGTTCTGTTTTTTTWAAAATAAATGTCTTTAATGCTAAGGAAGTTTCTTTGTAGTTTAACATTTTTATAATGAAAGCCTTTATTTTTTATCGCATAATGTTTTTTGGTGTGCTTTTAGCTATTATGGTCTTTTTTCTCTTTTCATTCTGTTAATGTAATAATCATTATTATATATTGAACCACCACAAATGAGGCCATGTATTCCTGGTTTTTTCTTTGTTGGAAGTCTTGATTACTGATGTTGTCCCTTTATTTGTAGATAGTTTCAAATTTCCTTTTTCTTCTGCAGTTTTGGTAGTTAGTTTCTAAGAATTTTTAAATTTTATCTAGGTTTTCTAATTTGTTGACATGTACTTGTTCATGGTATGCTTTTTCATATTTTTATTTCTATAAGGTCATTATTCATATTCTTATTCTCATTTTAATAATTTGAGTCTTTTTGATTTGTCTTTTAAGATTTCTTGAGATTTGATTTGTGTTCTAACTAACCTTTATCCTGGAGAATGTTCCATGTGTACTTATGAAAAATATTTATTCCTATTGTTTTTGGAGTTGAGTGTTCTGTATATGTCTGTTAATGTCTAGTTCTTATGGTGTTTTTCAAGTCTCCTATTTTCTTAATGATCTTCTTTCTAGTTATTCTGTTCATGAGAGTGTCATGTTGAAGTGCCCACCTATTATTGTAGAACTATTTCTCTTTTTAGTTCTTTCAGCTCTTTACTTCATATATTTTGGGGGCTCTGCTACTAGATATGTATATGTTTATCATATTTACATCTTCTTGATGCATTGTCCTTTTTACCAGTATATAATATGCTTTTTTTTCCTCTTGTTCRAATTATTTTGACCCAGAGTCTGTTTCATCTATGTTAGTGTAGCCACTAAGCTCTCTTTAGATAACTAATTGCATGGAATAACATTTTTCATCCTTTTTCTTTCAGCTTATTTCTCTCTTTGATCTGAAGCACATCTCTTGTAAGCAGTATATAGTTGGATTATGTCTTTTTATTCATTCTATTCATCTTCACCTTTTATTTGAAGAGTTTAATTTGTTTATACTTACAACAATTACTTATGGAAGCATTTCTGTCATTTGCTGTTCTGAAAATGTGTCATGGACAAATGTGTCAACATCTTTTCTTCCTCAATTCTTTAATTATTGCTTTATTTTGTGTTTATAGCTCATATTTTTTTTACTTCACTTCATTTTTGTGTCTATTTAAAAAGTTATTATAGGTCACTCTTGAGATTACAAATCTCTTTAATTATGAATGTATTTTGAATTAGCATCAATTTAGATCCAGTAGTATACAAAACCTCTGCTCCTCTAAAACCCATCATTTCCACTTCATGTTCTTGTCAGCACTTACATCTTTGTACATTATATGGTCACTATTACAGATTTATATTTGTTTATGTATTTTTCTGTTAAATCATATAAAAAGAAAAAAGGACTTAAAAAACAAAAGTACAATGATACTGACTTTTGTATTTATTTATGTACAGATGCTCTTAAAGTGATGATGTGTTAATATACCATTAAACCTTTCATAATTGAAAGTATTATAAGTTGAAAATGCATTTAATACAACTACCTTGTTGAACATCATAGCTCCTTAACATAGTACATTTTTGAGTATCAGTTGTTCACCCTTGTGATGGTGTAATTGAGGGCTATGTCTCACTGCTGTTGCCCAGGATCACAGTAGTATGGTACTGCACATCTCTAGCCAAGAAAAGCATAACAATATATATGCAGTGGKAATATAATGAGAATATAATGCAGAGGAAAGAGAGAAGGGGGCAGAAAGAATATTTAAAGAATAAATAATGGCTGACCATCAACATTGGTGCATGCCTCTAATACCAGAGGCTTGGGAGGTTGAGGCAGTAGGATTACAAGTTCTAGGCTGGCCTCAGCAATGTTGAGGCCCTAAACAACTGAATAAGATCCTGTTTTTTTTTTTTTTTAAAAGAGAGAGAGAGACAGAGAGAATTTTAATATTTTATTTTATTTTTTTTTAGTTTTCGGCGGACACAGCATCTTTGTTTGTATGTGGTGCTGAGGATCGAACCTGGGTTGCACGCATGCCAGATGAACGCGCTACTGATTGAGCCACATCCCCAACCCCAAGATCCTGTCTTAAAATAAAAAAAGACAAAGGGCTGCGGAGATAGCTCAGTGGTAAAGCATCTCTGGGTTCAATCCTCAGTGCCACAAACAATCTTTTTACAAAAGAATAAATAATGGTTAAAAACTTCCCAAATATGATAAAAGCTAAGACTCTACATCTTCGTGAAGTTCAATAGGTTTCAAGAAAGATAAACACAAAGATATCTATATCAAGACACATTATAATCAAACTATCAAGAGCTAAAAAGAAATTTTTTCCTTTTCTTCTTCTTCTTTTTTTTTTTTTTTGGTAGTTCTGGGGATCAAATCTGGGGTCTCACTCACACTAAGCACATCTTTGCCACTGAAGTACATTTCCAGTTCCCAGAAAGTATCTTGGTAACCGCAAGTAGTGATTTTTATATAGTTGTGTACCATGTTTACTCTGGTAAACAAGAGAATGCACATACAATGGTGGTACCATGAAATTACAACAGAGCTGAAAAATGCCTGTTGCCTAGTAACACCACAGCATTTGTGTGATGTTGGTGTCAACAAACCTACTATGTTGTCAGTCGTATAAAAGTATGACACAATTTGTGTACAGGACATAATACTTGATAATGATAATAAATGACCAGTATTACTAGTTTATGCATCCACTATGAGATCCTTTTTATCATCAGCATGTATTCCTTCTACTGTCAAAAGAAAAGTTTACTACAAAACAGTATTCCCAGGTACATTGTCGTGTCATTTGATTACATCAAGTRTCTGGCCTACACCATCTCTAGATCTGTATACACTATAATGTTTACACAATGACAATATCATTTAACAAGCCATTTCTCATGAATTGTCATGTGGATATAAAAATGATCACTAATAAGATTTCATAGTCAATTTCTCATCAAAAACTGTACAGTCCAAAAGACAAGGAGATGACATATTTAGTTTGCTGGAGAAAACAAAACAAAAACCAACCAAACATGAAGTAAAGCACTGTCTGTAAAAATTGAAAGAGAAATTGACATTCCCAGATACTAAAGGTTAGAGAGGTTGTGACTATTATTAGATCTACCCTATTAGAAATGCTAAAAGGAATCTACTGGAGGAAATGAAAGGGCACTACTTAGAAACTTGAAATTATACAAAGAAATAAAGAACACTGTGAAGGGTAACTACAGATGGCCCCTGACTTAAACTTGTTAAACAAAGCATTTTTTTTTCACTTTGGTCTAAATGTGATACAAATTAAAGAGAAGTTGTACTTCGAATTAATTTTAATGTTAACAGTTAGAGCCTAACTCAGTTGCGGAGGCTGTCTTGAACTTAGGATCCTCTTGCCTCAGCTTCACAAATTGCTAGATTACTAGCAYGCACTACATCACTTGGTACATTTAGGATTTATATACTAAATTCTACCCATGTGTATTTTATACTTATAGCATGTCTTAACTTAGTTGAGCTAGTTTTTAAGGACTCAGAAGTCACAAGTGTCTGATGGCTGCTGAATCAGACAGCACAGGTCTTAGAAGTTTTATAGATTTAGGTTATAGTTTAGGTCTGTTACTTGTTTTGAGTTAAGTTTTATATTAATTGTGTTTTTGCTTGAGTTCCGTTATTTACATAAAATTGTTCCTAGCAATTAGAGATCTAGAGATTCTACTGAGCTCCAAATCCTCAATACTTAAGCATATGTTATTATCTTAATTTTCTTTTCTTTTAGTATGATCTAAATTTACTTTGCAATCTATAGTTTTCAAACTGTATGCATAGAGTGTTCAGAAGTATTACCCATTTAGTTTCTTGGCTTTATATATTTTCTTRAGCTTCAATTACATATTATGTATGCCATTTGCTTTTTAAAATCTAATTAACCTCCCCATTTCTAAAATTATATTTAAATGCTTATTTTCTTGATTTTTAGGCATGTACTGGCATTGAAAACATTGATGAAGCTATTACATTGCTTGAACAAAATAATTGGGACTTAGTGGTAAGTACTTTTAAAATTTTCTGACCTGTATTCAAATTTTATGAATTTTTGCGTGTCTTTACCATTCTTTGTATATGGTTCAGCATACCATACTCCATGACTTATCTGAATAARTAGAATCTAATTATCATATTTTTACTATGTAGTCATTTTTAGTTCAGTATTAAATTACTAAATTAGTTTGAATTCTTAGATAATTGTGATTTTTTTAAAGTTGTTATCATATTGTATATTTTGTTTCATCTTCCCCTGTAGTGTTTTAGTGGAGATTTCTGGAAGGAATGAAAAGTCAGACTTGCCTGAATGTCTGAGTAACTCTATTTGATGTTTTTCCTTTACTTCTTGGGGTCTCACTAATAATTACTCCACTCTAAATTATTAAAGAAGAGGCTTTCTGCGTGGTTTCCTTATGAACTGCAGGCAGTTTTTTATAGAGGTGGTTTAGTTTAGCCTTTTTTTCTGGAGGCAGGCAGAACTCAAAAGGGAAGGTATATCACACCACCAACTGCAGCGCAAACTAAAAATAAATTGAATTGGAGCATTCAGTACTGTTTACTTTAGGATGACACAAATGTCCCTTTATGCCTTTGAAGGGCTGAAGAAAGTTGAAATTACAATTTTGAAGAACTACTAATTTTCAAAAAATCAAAACTTGAGATGTATATTTACAGAWAAATATGTACATATATATTTGTATATTTCATGGACTTACAAAGTTTGTAGTTATTACCTATATGCTTAGTGTGGATCTACCATTATTACTTTTTTACTGAATGTAAAAATTTTTTTCAGATTGTAAAAAGTAATAATGCTCATTGTAATGAAGTGAGAAGATACAAAAAATTTACAGAGAAGAAAATATCACAGGCTGAGCATTCCTAATCCAAAATCCCTATATCTGAAATCCTCCCAAATCTTTTGGAGTAAAACAATATAAAAAGTTTTGAATTTTGGAGCACTTTGTACTTCAGATTTTTCTTTTCTTTTCTGTTTTTTTGGTACTGGGGATTGAACTCAGAGCACTTGACCACTGAGCCACATCCCCAGCCCTATTTTGTATTTTATTTAGAGACAAGGTCTCACTGAGTTTCTTTGCACCTCACCATTGCTGAGACTGACTTGGAACTCATGATCCTCCTGCCTCAGGCTCTGGAACTTTTGGAATTACAGGCATGCACCACTGGGTCTGGCAGACTTCAGATTTTTGATGTGGGGATATTCAAGTATAAAGTTTAGGCAAGTTTTCAAAGATTTGAAATCTGAAAATATTTCTGGTTGTAAGCATTTCAAAATAAGAGATACTTAATCTGAAATTGTATTTAATCTCATTACTCAGATACTTGTTTCACATTTTTGATATGCAAATGAGATTATTTTATAATCTACATTTTTACTTCACAGYACTTCATGAATATTTTTCTGTCTAAATATGACTGTTTCTCATTTAAAAAATTTGCATAGCATTTCATGTTTTGATTGTAGCATAATTACCAACCATTCTTATGCTATCGAACATTTTAAGATTTTTATAATAGTTTGTTATTGTGAACATTTTTTTAGAGAATATTCTTATATGTACATATTGTATATTTAATCTTCATTTTTCTAGAAGGAACTGTATAAATTCAATTCATAATTGAATTTCTAGGTCAACTTATGCATATTTTTAGAATCTTRGATACTTAAAGCCAAATGGACTTCCAGGATGGTTTCACTAATTTAAATTTCTGCCAAATGTGTACATCAAATCATTGCTTCCTTATTTTTTTTGGCTCTTGGGAAAATTTTAAATCATTTGTATATCCTAGTCCCAAATCCGTGCTTTTAACCACTGTACTGTATTCCAACAGAGCATGATATTAGGTGACAGCCTCATGATTTTTTTGTAKGGGATGGATGGAAGGGGCAGCAATTTATTTGGAATAATATCCCCTAGCTTCTGTCTTCAGACTCCTTTAACATTAGCATGTGCATTACTTGATTTAGTTTATATATTTTGCAAGTGTTTTTGAGGAGACTGATGAAAATTATTTGGGAGGTTAAAAAGCCCATCAAGTCATTCTTGCATGATAATAATGGGATAGATAAATGATATAGAAAAAGACAATTGTAGGCTGGGATAACTCTTTGATGTGGGAATTGTCATTTGGGGGAGTAGTTCTTTCTTATCTCTTTCCTGTTGATCTGCGTTTTGAAGGTTTTGATTTTACATCATAGTGGGCCAAGCAAAAACCTCAGACTATCTTTCAGAACTTTTTACTTTGGCTTTCTTTCAAAATGCACCTCCTAGTTGACTTTCCTCTGCATATATCCACTTTTATTAACAGTAAAGCTTTGCTGTACTTTTTAATTGTCTTGCTTTATAAATTTTCTTATTTGTCCTGTTTTCATTTCATATTGACTGTGAATATTTTCTCAACCCAGTCTATCTAGAGTCTTGAAAAGGAGAATTTTCCCAGACATTGTTGAATAATTGAATGGTAAGGTTTTCTCCAGTTATTTTTGAGTTACTTGATTTTGGAAAATATTATCAAATAGCACTTGGGGTTAAAAACATTAGAGTGATTTATTTTTAAGTACTTGTCCCAATCTAAGATAAAAATGAAACAAATTAGCATGTGCATTTTGAATTGTTACTGAATTTCTAGTCCTCAAAGATAATTTTATACTTATAGAATCTTATAGTAAATTCATATACCTGAGAGCTAAAACCAAGGAAAAGTATCATGCATATAACCTGTTCCACAYCAAAATTCATTGATGTGCCTTGAGACATTTTCATTCTACCAATTTTTACTTTTCATTAAACATATCTTAATGATTATCCTAAAATTCCATAGAACACTTTCTTCCACTACCCTGTTCAGGATGTGGCTATTGAAGTCCTCAAATGTGCACCGCTTTCCTGTTTTATACAGTGTTAAGAACACCTGCAGTTTTATGAATGAATAGCCTAAYCAGTGAAATAATAAGTCTCTGTCCTCATCAGAAAGCAGCCAAGCATTGAACACTGCCCTTCATCAATGGCCTTCAGACACTGGCTTATATTTACACAGATGCTGGCTATGACAAAGAGAAGTTGCTGTGAAAGAATATTTTATCATATCAATTTTTCTTCCTTTGCTGCAGCCTTCTTTGTTTCCCTCACCCCTTTCTTATGGCCCTAAGGAACCATATCCCATTATTACAGAATTATTCAGTTTCTCAGGTTTTAACCTGGCAGACATCCTACCTTCTACTGTTTCTCCTTTACTTGAGGCCTACTTTTGCTAAACATCATGTCAGCTGATTATTTCCTTTAATTTTCACAGCAGTTCTAAAAGATGGGGAGGTGATAAGTATTAGCTTATTTTTACAGATAAGAAACTGAGGCCCAGCAAAAGTTAACTAAGATAGCCATGCTCAAGTAGCTGTTAAGAGATTGTTGAACCCAGGTCATGCAGTCCATAAGGAATTTTCATAGCTTTAAAATAACAGTTGAAGATTATTTAAAACATTATAAATTTTTTTCTATCCAGTGTGAACTATTTTATTCCACCTACCACTCACAACTAATTTCACATTGTTAGGTTAAAGGGGTTTTGCTATAGTCACATGATGTTGCTTTATACTAAGTATTTTTTTTTTTTTTTTTTTTTTTTGATACCAGGGATTGAACTCAGGGGCACTTGACCACTGAGCCCTATTTTGTATTTGATTTAGAGACAGAGTCTCATCATTGCTGAGGCTGGCTTTGAATCCAGATCCTCCTGTCTAAGCCTCCTGAGCCATTGGGATTACAGGTGTGGGCCACCATGTCTGTCCTCTTAAGCATATTTGTTTTGTTTTCAAATCAAGTCTTAAGATTACAGATGAAAGGCATTGTGTTTCTTACTAATTTTGTCTTTGGTAGTTGCTTAATAAATGCTTGTTTGATTGATTTTGTTATTAGCAAGCTTAGTTTTAGGTCTGTTCCTTCTCCATCATTTGGATATTTGAAACTATTTGCTGTTAAGACTTTTGACTCTTACTGATTTCACTTTTCTTTATCTCGAAAACAAGTTTGAGGGAAAGGTGATGAGGGTTAACCYAGCCACAGAATTGAAAAATAGGATAGGGTAGGGTTGGTTTCAGTATCTTACTAACAAAAGTTTAGATTGTGGCATTTTTGAGAAAGTATTTTTCACAAATATTCGTTTGCAGTTTTTTCCAAGCAKCGCATTAAAATTTCTTTTCCTTTTTATTTTTGCTTATATCATTCTACCATAAGGAAAGCTTATTATATAACCTAACCTATTTGAAAGTTTTCCTTAGTTCTGCTTCTCAGGAGAAACCTCCAGGATAATAAAAGATTACTGCTATTTAAAGTATTATTTAGTGGATATGAAAGAATCATTTTATAGTTTTCAGAGGAAACCCCAAGTTGTTATAAACATGAAATTCTCATGTTTATACCTAATATGTATTAAATATGTAATATGTAATACCCAATACGTATTAAACTCATATTGGGTCACGTTATCAATTGAAACTGAGGTGTATAAATTTTCTCTTGACTGCAACTTGACTATCTCTTTATTTTCACATTGGATTTTGTACCACTCTCCTTTTAAATGTAATCTAGTTTTATAATTATCTTATTACATGAATTAAACATCTCTGTCCTCTTTTTAAAAAATTCTTTTTAGTTGTCAGTGGACCTTTATTATTTATTTATATGTGGTGCTGAGAATCGAACCCAGTGCCTCACACTGAGGTTCTACCACTGAGCCACAACCCCAGCCCCCCACCATTTATAAAACCTTTATTAAATGCATGTTCAGAGGTTTTTTTTTTAAGAGAGAGAGAGAGAGAGAGAGAGAGAGAGAGAGAGAGAGAGAGAATATGAGAATATGAATGAATCTCAATATTCATTTTTTAGTTTTTTGGGGGGGACACAACATCTCTGTTTGTATGTGGTGCTGAGGATCAACCCGGGTCGCACGCATGCCAGGCRAGCRCGCCACCACTTGAGCCACATC